TTATGTATAAGCACATAAGTGAGCGTACATAAGAAACTTGAACTGATTTCATACATTTAACAGCCATTTCAATGTGAAAATGGTACACAAAGCAGGAGAAAAAAAACAGACAAATCTGTTTTCAGTCTTGCAAAAAGCATGCTTTACTGTTAATGAACAGATAGTGGCCCGAAATAAGGGTCCAAAAACTCACATTATTCTCAGTTAAAACTTTTCAATAAACTTCTAACTTCCTTTACTTCAACTTTGTAACATCTATTGCAGACAACCACACACACACTTAATGACAAATGAGAGGAAGAGGTTCAATCTAGAAACAGTTTACATTCAATAGAAACAGGATCAACACAATCACCACATTGTAGCCTTGAATGTAAAGTCTAAAAAAGGCTACAATTACTTTTTTAGTTTCGGTAGCCTGTCCTGTCATGCAGCTCATCCATACGCTAATTGACTCTATTGTCCTTTAATTGGAGACCAGGGCTTGTCTTTACCTGCTCATGTTGACTGTCCCGCTCTGTGCTCCTTCGGGTCGAGGGTTTGTTGCTCTTGGGTCTGATGAAGGTGATGTGCTGGCGTCGATAAGCCACAGGAGACTTAGCCAACTTGCTCTTCAAGCCCAACAGTGTTTGGAAACGCCCATTGTTGTCTAATTTATCAGGTGTCCCGTCTGCCTGCACCGTGTTGGAGGAGAGGCTTTGTGGGGGGAGTCTGGCGTGACAAGGTCTTGGGGCTCCAGGCGTTTGTAAACTCAGCTTCATTGAGTCGCACGATAGGTAGCCAAAAATATAAGGACTTATACATTAGATCATCTATAGGCTGCTCAGCTTATTAAATGCTATTTGCATTCTTCCTAACCTTTGGGGTGTGGTGCAGCTGCATTGATTAGATCCTAAATAATTTTTTTTATTTTAATAGAAGAGAATTTATCAAAATAATAGTTGTTTCCTTTGAAATTGTCAGCCAACTCCTTCTCAAACATTACAAAAAAAGTCTATATAGGACAATTTATCATCCTGCACCATAGCCTTATTAAAAAAAACCTAAAACAGTTGCTGGCTACAGGATATTTAAGAAAAATATAAATTAAACTTATTGGTCATTGGTTGGTCATTCATACAGTATTTCTTTCTATACATACATATATACACACACACATATATATCCGGGCACCCCAGTCATACAGTATTTCTGAGAAGCCACCAAATATGGCTTTAGGCTAAGGTGTAGTCAGTTGCATAAGAGACTGAGTGGAAAAAGAATGACTGGATGCTCCCTCTCGTGGTTCAGATCTGTCTGTCTGTCTGTCTTACATGTTTGTCCTTACAAGCAAACTGACAGCTATTGTTTTGCAACATGGCAGCAGGAGGAGCAGCGAAAATTACAAAACAGATGGTTGAGTCAAGCTTTAAAGTGAACGCCACCAGTAACATATTCTTACAGAATTGCATATCAGCAGATTAAGCTTTCGTTTTGTTTTTTTATGTTTTCTTGATGTTTAAAATTTTAATTTTATTTCCCTTACTTGATTTCCTAACTTAATTTCTTAATTTTGCTTGTGCTGCCTATGTACTGGCGTGCAGACCAGGGGTGGAGGAGGTTCTCAGATCTTTTACATAAGTGTGCTATTTTCAATTATCACTATGGCAATAGTCATTAAGGATAATACGCCACGTTATGCAGATACATAATAATCAGTCGTTCAATCATGTATTTTTAGGAAATCAATGTCCTCTCACAATATGTTTGATACACATATCCCCATTGTTTCTACTTATAAGATATAAGAAAATCCTAACAGCCTTTATCTAACTTTTTTTGAGTCTCTATTTTTATACAGTCTACAAACAACAAATTTACAAAGAGTAACCTGAAAAAAAGCCTTTCTACATTGAATGCAACCCAATGCAAAAGTCATGTAATTTTTCTACTTTTATGAAACTTTCAGTTTTTAGTTGTTGCTGACACAGCAACAGAGAGGTGTTGATATATTTAACCTGTAATTTGTGGTGATGTATTGGATTGCATTAAATTTTAAGGTGTATCTAATATTTTTTTATAAATATAAAAGAGGTGAACTAAATATTAGAAACATATTTCTCAGTGTGTTAATGTCTTAATGTGTTACGTCTGTGTGACAGCTATCTATTAAAAAAGGTTGGATGGACTAAGCCAGGGAAACCTTTGTGTCCTTGAGATCTATGAAGTCCAGCAGGCCACAAGGGGTCAGGCACTCACTGGACTTGTGTGGCAACTGAATAAGAGCAGAGTGGTACACGTAGAGGCACACAGTATATAAGGATTCCTGTTTTCTTTCCACATGGTAGGGACATGATAGTGAAAACATAATAAACCTCAAATTTTGAGAGTCTTGTTCAAGCTCACATTTGGCACCAACGGTGGTATAATTTGCTAATGAAGGAAGTTACTTCATGCTCGGCTTTTATATGTTTACGTCCCTGCAATTTATGAAAGAAGAAGGAGGTAATGAGATACTTAAGCGCAATTTTTGCTGTAGTTTACAAAGTATTTTAACTCGTAGTGGAAAAGTCTGTACTGTTTTAACTATCCACAAAGGAATGAAAAGAAAGTTGTGGCAGTGTTTCTTCATATTGTTAAGATGTACACATCTTTCAGATAATATCTTGGATTTAACTTACTCTTAAACTGACAATGGTATGAGAACAAAGGGTGTGGCAACCAGTTTAACTACTATCCCACTCACCTATGATCATAATAATTCAAATTCCACAAGAGCTTCTGCTTTCCTATTTTATACGGCACTATGAATAAATTATGTAATGATACAGTACATTTTTAACCTTCTCACTGATGAAAAAAAAGTCAAAATTCAGTGCCTGATAATATAATAATGCTTCACCAGCAGTATGGATGTTTGTAGAGCTGCTGTAATCTCCTGTATGCTGTACTTTCCAGATTAACACTTATACAATTTATAAGACTAGTTTAGACACGAAAATGCAGTTTATATTTATTTTCTGCGGCAGTTCTATGTACTGGATGTTGAGACAGAAGATTCCATGTATGTGGCAGTTGGCTGCAATTATGAGCATGTATAAACAGAAACTGTTCAAACTAAAGCAGAGTTACAATTAATGTGTGAGGACAGATTCAAATGTATATGTCTCTCTCTCTCTCTCTCTGTGTGTGTGTGTGTGTGTGTGACGTTTAAATGTACACATGTATTTGCCTGTATTTGTCTGTATATTTCCAATGTTTGCATGGTTATTCTAACCAGATTGCGATGAGTATAAATGATATGTTTGGTGGCCTTGCTGTAGTGCCACATTTAGATCAGAATTTACTTTTTTTCATAGAAAATGTCAAAATCTGACATGTAGAGGATAAACCATATCCACTTTGGATACTTAATGAGCTTTGCACTGCACCATCTTGCGATGCAATGTCAGCTTTGCACAGAGGATATGGTATCTTGAAAGGTATTACTGGTAAGGCTTAAAAAGCAGCAGTAGCAACACTGTGGGGTGCAATACATTTTGCAACCTATAGGGGCTTAGATTTTGTCTTGTGCTGTAGGCTTTAAAGGATAAAGGGTACAATTTATATACACAGCATATGTAATTTATATAGGAGCAGCCACCCTCATAGTTGAGGCAAGAAGCTGGTTCACTGTGTTGGTTGTTGATTTTGGAACAGTTCAAAGGCACTTCTGTTGAGCATTTTGTGCTATTATACTAAAAGGGACTAAGTGTGGTATTGTGTGAGTCAGAAAGATGGAGAAAACTAAGGACATTGAACCAATACAAATTGTTTTGGGGTTTGAGATAAAATTAATTAGGATTAAGACACAGGATTAGGTTAGTGTTAGAAGAACATGTTGTATTATACTTGGTTTGAGTTTGACCAAAAGTGAACTAAATAATTTTAGAAAGCATCATGGTTAAGTTTAGGTTAAGGAGTGTTTGTTGAACCTGACTTACACAATAGCACAAGTATATGTGTCCTTTCCGCATGTCTTCCTCCCGCTTTTCCAGGCCTCAACTGTAGCGGACAGCTCCCAGAAAGAGCAGCAAGAAGTAGCGCCCCCTCCCTCTGCTGTGCCGGCTCCTAGCCTGTAATTCTCCACGGCTCAGACATCTGTAAGCATTTCTCTCTGACCACAGGAGCAAAATAGAAAGTTGGAAGCTAGAGGCTGTGATTTGGGTGCGTATAAATAAAGTTGCGAGCAAAGGAGAGGCTGCTAATATGATGGAGTCCAGAGGGTGGGAGGTCCGGAGAAGCGGGACACCCAAGTCATCAAAGAGAAGGGATGGGGAGCAGGAGGACAAATGGAGCCTCTCAGGGGCGGTCAGGTTTAGACTCTGTATTTCACATACCATGTGCTAATCAAGGAAGATGTGTCTCTGTTATCACATCTTCCTTGATTTGCATATCTGTCCAACAAACAACTAATGACAGCTGTGTCAGTCAAAGCTAATTTTCACTTGCACATCAAGTCAAATCTTATTTCTTTAAGGTCTGTACATGGTAACTAAAAGGCCTATGTCCTTGAAGGCACAGCAATGTTAGCACAGCACTCAAAAACACTATTGGCAGGGAAAGACATTTTGGGAGGGACAGTTTGGGAGCCCTACTTATTATTATATTTATCAATGAATGTTGTATCTTTATATACCTGTTCCACTCCTTAATTTATTAGAAAACACAAGCTATTCTGTCCATTACAGCATTACATGAAAATAAGAACGTATTGTATTGTCTTGTGCATTATTTGGAACATATTTTTATGGGGTTTGTCGTATCTCGTCTCTTAGGAAACCTGGACATCTATGATGATGTCCCTAAAGGTGGGACCAAGTAGTGCTGCAAATGTTTAGCTGAACTGGGAAAAATATCCATACATTAGGTTAGGATACAAAAGAGTTTCTAAGGGCACTAACTAGCCAGCAAAGGCTAATATAAAATAGCAAGTCTTTCCCAAAATGCGAACCATCTAATCTGTAATAATTCTTCAGACTTAGAGCCCATTGAGCCTCCATATTGCTGCTGACTCCTTTGTAGTGGTCCGCCTGGGCAGCCCTGCCTTACAACTGAGGGCACACTTATACCTAAAACAAGATGTTCAGTATATAGTTGGTACAGCAGCAGGCTCACCAGATGAACCACGCCTTGCCCATTCCCTCAGACCTGGCCCAAAATTATCATTTTAAAATTGGGTGCAAGTGCAGCGGCGGAACCACAAACAAATGTGAACGAACATCTCTTCATCCCTGTGTTCATTAGTTAAAAGGGGATCTGAAAAAGAGCTGAACAGTGTTAGTAGATTTTTGATAATTTAAGTAAAAGCATTATGTGAAGGAGAAAATGAAAGCTGATTTGTTTTTCAATGTAATACTGAGTAAACAGTATCTGATTTATTAAGCTCACTCACAGACGGTCAACAATAAGATGATGTAAAATACTTTACACAACAAAATACTAATTAAAATACATGAATAATGACAAAAAATAGGTTGTAAAAGTAATAAAATGTAAAAAAAAAAATAAAATAAAAAAATTATAACTGCTGAAAAAAGAAAAATAAGTGACTATCAATGGGAGGTGAATGTTGATTGTCCTTTGTCAAGTGGCTTCTCATCATCGTGACATTCAGACTTTGGCTCCACAGTCCTCTGTTCACTCTGCTCTGTCTCCTCTTTCTATCCCTGACTGGAAATAATCTCAGCTGTCATTAAAATTTCCATCACACATAAATACAATAAATAACAACAAAAATGTGTATCTGCTTGCTCAATCTCTCAGCCAGGAATCAACTCTTTCTCTTTCTTAAATCTGTTTGTTCCCTTCTTTTCCATTATAGGCTGTTCAGTCTTTGATCAACTTCACATCTCTACTGACCGTGTCTGGGAGACTGGCAGGTGGAAGCTGAACTAATAGTGACATTAAAATTAGGGATGCACTAATAATAATGTCCTACAGTACTCAAAATACAAATTATTTTAAAAAATGAGTTGCTTTTACTGAACATAAACTTTTATCATTAGTTTTAGTTTTGGGTCACTGGTCCAAAAGTATTGTGTTTTTGTGTGTAACTCTGGTTGAATACCCCAAAAGAGGACATTAATTTAATATACAAAAATAAGCCTTACTTTTCTTTCTCACGAATTAGGAATATTTAAGATTTTAGGAGGCCCAACACAGGACTTGATTTCCATGTAGAAAAGGAGCACTTAAACCTTTATCACTTGGCTTAGACTGGGTGAAAATTTTAAGAGCTATTATGTAATCCCTAATCTGCTGAATCCAAACAAATACCCTCTCCTGGTTAGTGTGAATGGCTTGACTTTGAGACTGATCTATTTTTGTTTTATTTCATTTTCTTATCTTCCATCTACCAGCTGAACAGTTTCATGAAGTTCTGGAAGCCGTCATCTCCGAAGAAGTCAAAGGAGCCTTGGGCTGAGCCCAGATGGACGAGCAGAAGGACGAGCAAGACGACGGCCAGAAGTGGAATCAGCAGGTTCCAGCCGGCTGCCAGGATGTTGTACCACTTGGCCTTGTCTGAACACTCCTGGGCCAGCTGTAGGTTGCCCTGAGTCTTCTGGTCCCTGGCCTACACAGACGCATACAAACACAGTAATTTACATAATTTACATACTAATACAGAAAAGTTTCAGAATGGCTTTAAGGAAGTCAAGAACAAAAGTTTTGTCTCTACAGGATGGTTCAGCTAAATGTTTCTGAATTGAATGTATTACATAAATAACACAAACGCTTGGTTAGTATCTACACCCATGAATACTGTAAATAGCAAGAGAAGATGGGCAAACAAAAGCATATTATAATGTTCAGTCGTGTTTTTGTTTACACCCAGTTCATTGCAGCTTGTCCCATAATTCCCAGTTTTTCCACATAGAGTGCAGATTCAAGGTTGTGGAAGGGCGGAGTGATATGAAATCCCTGAGTTGCTTCTGAGTGTATCGGTGTATTTTGGAACGGACCAGCCTAAGTCTTTCCCAAGGACTCTCTAATTTCCCTTGAGTACTCACCCATTAGGAAGATGCCAATTACGCCATTTTTAACTCCTCAGACAAGCAGCCAGTCACTGTCTTTAATTTGACTGCTGAGCCAATACTAGGCCTGTGATTCAGAGCTGCGCCCTATGCAGACAGATGAAAGATTTAAAACAAGACTTAAATAAAGGGTATACACACCCTTTTGTGGTGAGCGTTTCAGTGTTCAGGTAGTCACACAGTTTGTCCGATCCTGCTATGTACATCACATTTTCAAGGATCTTTAAGCCGTTTTGTAGTGAAATTTTTTTTTGTTTTGGTCTCATTTCTCCACAGCCCCATTCCTGTGGTAAAGGGCCAACTTTCTACTGAATGTGCCATTTGACTTGGGACAGTAACAGGTCTCTATACTGTTTTAAATATATTACTTTTTTCCCATTTTACAACAGAGATTTTCCTAACAAAGCATTTTACAGTGTGTAACACATGATACATCTAGCCTTGTTTTTATGGCATCACTATACCTGTTTCACAAGTCTGGCACTCTAAATGCAGCCATGCCAAATTTTCCTTTGGCATGGCTTTGGCTGAGAAGTAACAACCAATTCAAACTTGCTCTCTTATAAATGATATTGTCTTTCTGGCATTTGTCTGTGCCTCATTTCAATCCCTTGCCAGCTTGCCCACCTTTTGTCTATTTCTGCCAGACTTGCATTACGGAAGGCTTTGAATAATCAGAGAGGTTCAAAATTGTCCTACCTTGGGTGTGTTCAAAAGTAATCCATTAAGACATCAGTTAATAAAACAGATTTTAAAAGACTAAAAAGTAAATATAACAAACAAACAAGACAGTCCACAATGGTTAAGCCTTTCTGCTGTAAAACAGAATGAATCCTTCAGTCATTGCTTGCAAAGCTAATTACCATCATCATCTAAACTTAAACCTAAAACAGTGCAGCTGCATCCCATCTTCTTCCCTTTGACACCTCAGGTAATTTCTTGAATGTTGCATGCTTTATGATATTGGTCTAAACTTACAAGATTTTCACAAGAGTAAAAAAAAAGAAAGAAATAGCACAGGATCTCACCTTGATGGAGTAGACAAGAGCCATGAATCCCAGGCAGCAGAAGTTAACGTACAAGGTGTTGCACAGCGACCAGACTAGATAGTCCCGGGGAGGATTCTTGCCAGCATTGCCCATGTTCACCACGGTGGATCCAGCCGGCTTACGGGCAGACTTACAGTTGGTGAGTGGGGTACAGTCTGAGGGGAAGTTGTATGAATGGTTGTCCATGGTGAGCGTTTTAGACAAGATAGCCTTCCAGATGCCTGTGCACGGTTGGAAAGTAGTGCCCCCCCTGTGTGAGAGGCTTATAAAGGCCAACAAAGAGGGAGGTGACAGGGAGAGGACGCATGGGCAGGGTCGTTTAATATACAGTAGGTCTGTCATTATGTGGTCAGGCCTGAGAGAGACTGAAATAGAGATAGAACAGAAAGCAGTATGAGAGAGAAGATGGAGAAAGAGACAGCAAACAGATGCATGGGAGCAGCGCAAAGCCTCCTCCATCAAAGAACACCTTACCTCCACTTTCAAAGGGTTCTAACTGTGTGGGTCAGGTGATTGGTTTGGGCAGTGGTAGCGGAGGACAGTGGAGGCAGGGTTGTGCTGTTCAAATGCCTTGAAGGTGTTGAGTAGGAGTTGATCTGAAGTGCTGTCTGCCAGAGGCCTTGAGGGACAGGTCTGTGATGTGGTCTCTTTTGGGTGGGTGCAAAAAGGTCAAAATTTACAACACATCTGTAAAATATATGATGATTCCTTTGGGTTACAAGACCTAAAATTAAAGCTAGACTTCATGCAGCCTGAATATATCTATAGGATTGAGAAAAACTATAGTTTCAGTCTCTCCATAAATATGAATGTTGACTAGTGAGATAACAAATCTTTAAGTGAGATAGTTGAGTGTAAGACAACAAGGTTAATCTTAATATATATTTTACTTGTAAGTATTTCTTTTTACAGAGCAGGAACAGCTTAGCATTCTATTTTTAAGCACGTCAAATTCATACAGTTACTCACAATGGAGTTTCCAAGTTCAACCACAGTCTGCTGTTGATGGCCACTGACCATCCCCACTGCAGAAAAGAGGTGTTTAGTGCCTGGTGAAAAGGGTACAACAGGCATTACTCTTATTCTTACAGATTTCTCCAGTCCGTGCAGTGGGGATTGACTCGACGCGACATGTGGAAACAAACCTGTTTCTCTAGCCTCTAGCTGCCTACTGATTTATTTGATTTTGAGACACAGATAACATTATTGTTGGCATGAACATCCTGGATGTGAAGTAAGGATTCAAGATTTCATTTTAGTTTCCAGTTCTGTTTGGGATGTTTTGTGTTACATCTAGGATTTGATATACATAACAACATTTCTAAAGTTTAAAATGAGCATTGGTAGGGTGTACTTAAGAGGTTCGTGTGGAAATGTAGAACAACATTGCCCTCTGCTTGTCGCTTACAGAAGTCTGGTTATTTCCCCCTTCATTTTGAACTAACATGAACAAATAACATGTGCAGACAGGATGGAGACATAAACAGCTGCATAGATACAACTAATAAACAGAACTTTGTGCATTTTGTCATTACAGTTGGCCTACAGATGTTTTGCTTCCTGGTGCTGGGGGCAAAGCACAACTGGCTTGTCATACCTTCTTGTGCTGTGCTCTATATTCATCAGGAGTACCCTGATGAAGATGAGGAGTACATTTTAAATGTAATCTCCAACTTAAATTAGTACTGGCACTGTATGTACCAGTCAAACATTTTGACACATTTTCCCCATTCACTTCAAGATTTTTGACTGATACTGTCTATTTATGCTCTGGACATTTATTATATATGTTACAGCCCCAGCTCAAAAAAGGGAAATGAGAAGTAACATAGCCAGTTGTTAAATGGTAATAATCAAAGTTAGTTATTTTTCCAGAAATTGGTAATCTTATAAGAAATGAAAAAGGTGAGACAAAACCACAAATTAATTTACGGGTGCTTTAAGGAACAAATAAAACCAAAAGAGTCCATCTGAAATAAAGAGGAAATTGAA